CGAAAAGTAAAGTTTTTTTCTCCGTTCGGTCGCTTAAATCTGAGTCATTCAGGCAGGAAAAAGGCCCCTAACTCAAGGGATGAGCCAGTGTCTGCGGTTTAAAGTGGATCAGAAGCCTAAATATTAGTTTAAAAAGTCTCCATCCAGCTTTAATTTCTTCTTATTTTTCCTCAAAGCAGCCAGACGTCCTTTAAAGGGTTTTTAGGGACTCTGATCCAGGATTTATGAGCTTTATCTGAGTTTTTGTTTGGATATTTTCTATTTTTTCTCTCATTTTTAGTCCAGTTTTTGTAGCTGAAAACGTTAAGATTTAATTAATGAGGGAAATCCATCCTCATAATGAGTAAAACCCTCAAAAGTGAGATTAAATTAAAAACAAATCTGAAGCTAAAGCCCCAAATCAGCCCTAAAAAAGAGGAAATCTGGACTGAAACATGAATAAAGTTCAACTTTAAAGTCAAACTGTGATAAAAGGAATGTGTTTTTTCTCTGTTCAGCCTCTTAAATCTGAGTCATTCAGGCAGAAAAAGGCCCCTAACTCAAGGGATGAGCCAGCCTCTGCGGTTTAAAGTGGATCAGAAGCCTAAATATTAGTTTAAAAAGTCTCCATCCAGCTTTAATTTCTTCCTGTTTTCCCTCAAAGCAGCCAGACGTCCTTTAAAGGGTTTTTAGAGACTCTGATCCAGGATTTATGAGCTTTATCTGAGTTTTTGTTTGGATATTTTCTACTTTTTCTCTCATTTTTAGGCCAGTATTAATCTTTGTTGAGTCAGAAAAAGGCCCCTAACTCAAGGGATGAGCCAGTGATGTTTCCAGCTCAGCAAATAAGTCGTTTAAACTGGACATAATGTGAGATTAGAAGCCTAAATATTAGTTTAAAAAGTCTCCATCCAGCTTTAATTTCTTCCTATTTTCCCTCAAAGCAGCCAGACGTCCTTTAAAGGGTTTTTAGGGACTCTGATCCAGGATTCCTGAGCTTTATCTCAGTTTGGATATTTTCTACTTTTTTCTCTAATTTTACTCAAGTTTTGATCTCTGTTGAGTCAGAAAAAGGCCCCTAACTCAAGGGATGAGCCAGAAAACCCAGTCTGACAGACAGGAAACAGTTCTGAGGATCCAAAGAGCTGCTGGCTCAGGTTCAGGTTCTGGTTCTGGTTCTGGTTCTGGTTCAGGTTCAGGTTCAGGTTCTGGTTCTGGTTCTGGTTCTGGTTTTGTTTCTGGTTCAGGTTCAAGTTCAGGTTCAGGTTCAGGTTCTGGTTCAGGTTTTGGTTCTGGTTCAGGTTCAGGTTCTGGTTCTGGTTCTGGTTCAGGTTTTGTTTCTGGTTCAGGTTCAAGTTCAGGTTCAGGTTCAGGTTCTGGTTCTGGTTGTGGTTCAGGTTTTGTTTCTGGTTCAGGTTCAAGTTCAGGTTCAGGTTCTGGTTCTGGTTCAGGTTTTGTTTCTGGTTCAGGTTCAGGTTCTGGTTTACTTTAAAAAAGAAATTGTGAGTTCTGGAAAAGGTCCTGAGAGGAGAAACCATCCGGTAAAACATGTGAATTCTGAGCCTGAAGAGCTGCCTCTTCCTCCAGAACCTGTTCCTGACCCTTGACCCCTGACCTCTGACCCCTGGACTTAGCTGTAATGCAGCAGATCCTCAGAAACAATCAGAAGTTTCTCTAAGACAAAGACAGGTGAGGAGCCCCCCCTGGTGTCCACACAGGGACCTGCACCCAGGGGGGGGGGGCAGAGAGGAGAGGAAACGAGGAAACGAGGAGATAGGGAGGAGGTCAGAGGACTTAAGGAGTCAAGGAGGTAAAGGTGGCGAGGACAGAGGAGTTAAGGACTAAGGAAGGAAGGAGACACAATAAGGAGCAGAAACTAGGAGAGAAAGGTCAGAGGTCAGGAGGAGTTTGTTATTAGTAGAGATGATTTATTTTTACTATTATTATTATTACTGTTATTATTATTATTATTATTGCTATTATCATTATGATGATGGTGGTGATGATGATTTTTTAAATTATTATTATTATTATTACTCATCATCACCATCCTCCTCATAATTATTATTGTCAGTACTATTATTATAATTATTATAATTATTGTCATTACTATAATCAACATCATTATTATTATTATT